ACAAATAATTCATTGTAGTTATAGTCTAATCAACAAGTTCAAAAACATGAAAAATAGAGATAAAGGTCTTAAAAATATGAGCGATAGCTCATTCGATTCGGAATCACCTCTAGAAAAATGTTTTTGAAGGATTTTGGTGCAGGTACAAAATTGCAATTGTTATTATGAAAATAAGATTTAAAAAAATGGTATTTAGGTTTCCGGTAATAACTCAAAAAATATTAATATTTGAGCAATTTTGAAAAAAAGCTCGTTAAAGAGGAGGAAATTTCCGATATAAGAGGTTTCCATATGATACGTATCTCTACGCTAGCTTGACTAAATGCGTTGTTGGACAACATATACGCGGCTTCCTTGAATTTTCTCCTAAACCAGTGTTCCCCTTTGTGGATAATTTCAGCTTGAGCCCACTTGATATTATGTTGATAAGTCCAAACATGCTCTGCTATTCCGGATTTGCTGGTTTCTCCTCGCTGTGTGTGTTTCTTGTGCTCAGCAATGCGAACTTTCAATGGCCTCTTAGTTTCACCGATTTATGATTCTCCGCACTCGCAGGGTATTCGATAAATGCAATTCTTGGAATCGCAGTCCGCGTTTGGTGGCCTGGTTTTTGTGAGGCTGCTACGGATAGTGTTCCCAGATCTGAAACAGGTCCTGATGTTATACTTGGACCCAATCCTTCTTATCCTTTCCGATAATCCTCTGATGTAGGGAAGTACAAGTAATGGTCGTGGCGGCTTCTCTTCCTTGTGGAGCTCTTGCTGTCTTGTAGCTAAAGCCTGTTCTACCATCACTCTGGAGTAACCATTCCATTGAGGGTCATTTTTGATAATGCCTATTTCTTTTTCGAGTCCTTCCTTTGTATTACAGAGCTCGAAAGCACGGTCTAGTAGAGTCTTGATGATTCCTCTCTCAGTCGATTGATAGTGGTTGGATTTCTGGTTCAGATACTGCCCTGTGGCAGTCCCTCATCTTGCGTAAAAAATTCGTCCTTCAGTTGGAAGTAGCATTTTCTTCATAGCATCCTAGTAATTCCATGATTACTTATATCGGTAAGTTTGTTCTATCTTTCAGGTCCCCATCTTCGGATAGCTTCTTCTGTATGATTTGAAGTGCTTCTTCGACAGGAACGTTGGTGTAGAGGCTTTCCACGTCGAAACTGATCAGTTGATCCTGCTCTTTGACTTCGATTTCCCCTAGTAGTTCAACGAAATGCCTTGAATTTTTCACAAAAGATGATGTTTTACCTTGCAATGGTTTAATTATTGAAAAAACCTGGACAAGTTCTGAGTGGCTGAATCTATGGATTTTGGGTAGTCCATATAAGTGCAGTGGCTTATTGTGGTGCGGTGTTAGCGATGACCGCTCTTTTTCCGAAAAGTAGACTTCGAGCTCTGTAATACAAAGAAAGGTCTCGAAAAAGAAATAGGCATCATCAAAAATGACCTCAACGGAATGGTTACTCCAGAGTGATGGTAGAACAGGCTTTAGCTAGAAGGCAGCAAAAGCTCCACAAGGAAGAGAAGCCGCCACAACCAGTACTTGTATTTCCCTACATCAGAGGACTATCGGAAACGATAAGAAGGATTGGGTCCAAGTATAACATCAGGACCTGTTTCAGATCTGGGAACACTATCCGTAGCAGCCTCACAAAAACCAGGCAACCAAACACGGACTGCAATTCCAAGAATTGCATTTACCGGATACCCTGCGAGTGCGGAGAATCATACATCGGTGATACTAAGAGGCTATTGAAAGTTCGCATTGCTGAGCACAAGAAACACACACAGCGAAGAGAAACCAGCAAATCCAGAATAGCAAAGCATGTTTGGACTCATCAACATAATATCAAATGGGCTCAAGCTGAAATCATCCACAAAGAGGAACACTGGTTTAGGAGAAAATTCAAGGGAGCCGCGTATATGTTGTCCAACAACGCATTTAGTCAAGCTAGCGTAGAGATACGTAACATATGGAAACCTCTTATCAAGCGAAAAACGACCAACTAACGCCAAACGGTCATCTCCCGCTAAAACCAATGAAGTGGAAAGAGGAAAGAGGGGATAGGTGAAAGGTGAAAGCACCCGAATGCTATAAATAGTCAGATCTCGGAAATCTCAGATCATCCGAAGACGATTGTGGATACTAACAATCGAAACGTCGTGACGTAATTTGGTTTGGAATCTTTTAATTTTTATCTGGATGTAGTTTGTATGTTATTTCCTTGTAATTTCAGTTTTTCGTTTTAATAAAATTGTTATTTTTGGGTAATCTTTTATTTTTTTCAGTCCGAACTGATGAAATAATTTTTTTATAACATAAAATGTCATTTTAAAAATTTGAAAAAATTCTAGTATCATCTTAACACTTGAATGAATCGAGTCCCGTAGAAAAAAAAGTTTCAACACCATTTTTCAAAAAGTAATTCAATTGTTACCTAACAAATTTTTTCCCAATCTCCGTTGGCATAAATAATGGAATAAAAGGTATAAATAATTGGACTATAAATTTTAAACTTCGTGGAGCCCTTTTGATATATATACTTCATACGATCCTGCGATATTTTATCTAATTTCTACTAGGTTTATTATTTGTTACGACCGGTTTCGGTAATAAATAATAAACTTAGTAGAAATCAGACAAAAGTTATTTTCTTTATCCAGCAAAACATATTGCTGATGTCATATTGATGACTAAATTACATATGGCAGACACCTATGAACGTCTTCCTTCTTGAGGTCCTATAACTTTTATCCTCTTCTCTTCGAATTGGGTAAACTTATACAGCCAAGCTTTGAAGAGAAGAGGATGAAAGTTACAGAACCTTAACGTATTTAGGCAAACCCACTACAAATATTTAAAATTTTCTGTACAACATAGATGTAAATATTGCTTTCAAAACCAACAACAATTTAGACATGCACATTAGGAATAACAAAGATAAAAGTTCAGTTTCAGAAAAATCGGGAGTATATAAATTATCATGTGGGTCATGTCCGATGTTTTATATAGGTCAAACTGAAAAAACATTCAAATCCCGCATAAAGGAACACAAAAATAGTTTTCAGAATGGAAAAATAAATTCCACATATGCCATTCATTTAATCACAGAGGGACATGAGTTCAACCATGAATTCAAGCCCCTCCATTTCCAGAAGAAAGGTTTGAGAGTTAACCTGTTGGAGAGTATGGAAATAAACAAATTCAAACACTCTCAATATTTCATGAACGATCAAACTGAAATGAATAATTCGCCATTATTGAATCTGTTTATTTCCAGGTCAAAATAGTTAAGTATATTCACGATACTTTCGAAAAATTCATTCATATAGCTAATGTTAGAGGTAGGTAATATGTTAAGAGTATAAAATAGTTGTATTTTAGAAGTAACTTTTAGTGTATGCTATTGTATAGCGAAACACGTGTCGCGTTTTCTGTAAAACCCTTCAAAGTGAAGATTATACGACATACTGTATTGATTAGTTGAAGATCTTCTGTCAGTTCTGTCTATGTTCTGTCATAAAAGGGAGTATCACGAGTTGTTTTCTATATGCTGAGTTTCTCCCTCCTATATGGCTGGTATTTTTTTTTTAATTTCTGAATATTCAAGCATTCGTCTCGGCGAGACATTGAGAAACCATAAACACAAAAAATCGGTATTATATAGTGTAGATTTTCTGGTAAACCTTTCTTCCCACCTATTTGCCAGTGGATAATAATTTGATATTGCTATATAATTTTTTCAAAGATAAAACACAAGTACTACAGGAAAATCCTCAGTGCTCTAAGAGCGGTGTCTGTACGAAAGTAACGAGTCACATTGGAATTGAATCGCTGGAGATTGAAGCCATTTGGAAGAACGTTCGCAGGAAGTGCATTCCACATAAACGCAGTTCTCCAAATGAAAGAGTTCTTAAACATTAAAGTTTGAGGTGTATTGAGTTGAACCTCAAAACTTTACGCAGCCACAGTCCGTCGCGTATTTCTGATATGTACCGCTCTTGGTAGAATCAAATGTGTTCAATCACTCAAACACCTCCTGTACCTATGAAAGAGAGACAAGTCTCCAACCTTTCTTCGATGTTCAAGACTATCAAGGTTGCAAGTGATGTGTTCGTGTCTCCAATCAGGCAGATTCCTTTTTTCTGGATGGTATCCAGCAGCTCCAGGGTATGCTTAGGGGCGAGCTCCATACATGTGAACAATACTCCTGAGCTTTATAAAGCATCAAAAGTTGCTGAGGTGTGTACAGTTTTCAGGCTCGAAAGAGTGTTCCAAGCTTTTAAGAAGCAGCCTTTGCTATTCCAGCGACATGATTGTGCCAGGACACATTGGTGTCCATTTTAACCCCCAGCAAACTTATCGAAGCAGAAAGCGGAATTGCCTGACCTGACATTTATATATCCGGTCCGGAGACATTTATCTTCTTGAAGAAAACCAATGCCTGAGATTTTGTGGCATTGAATTGAACCTGGTTACTTCCACACCAATTCGAAATCACTTCTAGATCCTCTTTGAGATATGCAACCTCCTGCTGCCGGCGAAGATGGGCCTTCATAGCTGTACTGTCGTCAGCAAAGCAATATATTGGATTCTTGTTTTTTTCAATAAATGGTTGATATACAGTAAAAAGAGGGTTGGAGACAATATGGATCCCTGGGGAAGACCAGCGTCGATGGTAAAAGTATTCGAGAGATATTCCTCGACGGCCACTTGCAGGGAACTTTCTTTCAGGTAGCTGTAGAGTCATACACAAAAAAGAATCGACAAGCCACAGCATCGAAGTTTGATCAGACCTTAAACATATCAAGCGCAACAGTTCTTGACTATCCATGTTTCTAGATTGCGTTATTCCAAAGTTGATGGTTCAAAAATCACCTTGGAATTGTTAGTTTGTTTTTAAGGTATAGTCGTTTATTGAGTTGTTCTGAACTAGAAACTATAATATTTCTATCTAATTTTTTTTCCACTTTCATAACAATCAATTTAACATATTTCAGGGAAAGTGAAAGTAGATGTACAAGTACTATCCAACACCGATAGAATAATCCTTAATAGTAACTCATTGACTATTAACAAGGTTCAAATCGACTCTGTAGTTGGTTCCTATTGCTTGGATCCAACTCACGAATTACTGACCATAAGCAAAGCCGATGAAGCTGGCTTCAAAATCGGAAATGCGACTATCGAAATCGATTTCAGTGGCGACATGAAGAACAGAATAGTAGGGTTATACACCAGTAGTTACAAAAGTGCTTCGGGGGAGAACAGGTGAGTAAATTGACAACAGATCATTCGTTTTACTATCTGATTTGAATTTGTGATGCACTGTTTGGTGTAGTAATTAGTATTACTGGAGTTTGATCCCAACACCAAACCGTTATTTTCAACACAGTGACACGTATTTTCATCACCATCTTTACCTTGAAGATGATAACAACACGTGTCGAGGTGTTGAAAATAACGGTTTGGTGTTGGGATCGAACTCCAGTAATATTTTTTTTTGGGAAAGAAAGTTTTTGGCTTTCTACTACTCCATCTGATACAAAAAAATGGATGAGAGAATCTTCCAAAGAAAGGAAGGATTAATTTGAAAATAAGTAACTCTATACATGGATATGTAGATCATGCAAAGAAGTAACTTTCAGACACAAACTGAAAGAAATTCCTCCTGAAACAGCTACTTTCATATAAACATTGAATTACACGAAAGAAAAAAATTCTTTCGAAACAAATACTTCTATATGAACACTGAATTATACAGCAGATACTTTTCTCTATTCAGTTTGTATATCGAACATTTGTGGAGGAATAAGAATCAGATATCATTCACATGAGTTCTACTTTGAATGAATGGTAATAAATTGTACTCACATGGAACACTTTCACCCAAACTGGTATACACGTGTTTCGCCTTTCCCAAAAAATTAATCACTCCTAAAAATATAACCCTTTCAAATCCAGTAATATTCTAATTTGAATAGTTACTTTTCATCATTATGATCAGTGGCCACTTTTTTTCATTTCAGTTCATCTGAATCTATGATTAACATATTTTATTCAGTCTATTAGAGCGAATAGTCCAAAAATATTGTAGTCCAGTCATATTGAGAGTTTCATCTCGGAATGAGAAATAATAAGCTGGAAACCCCTATATTTTTTTCTAAAAGTTGTCTCAAAAGTCTTATAAAATCTTGGGTCTTCGCCGGGAGTTATTCAAGGTGAAAGGTCACAAAAATCAGTTTTTCGCGATTATTTCGGTTTCTATAGCTCCAATAATATTAACAATCATCATAAAAATTGTAGAGCATAAAATTTGCGTCGAAGTTAGTTTAAAAATTTTTTCATTCGCCCGAAGTGAAACATGTTTCACTTCTTTCATCAATTTATATGTTTGATTCATTGTTTTATACTCATTGTTACTGCCCTGAAGGAGCTTCCCACTAGAACCGACAGCTTGACAAAGTAAAATACCACTGCAGGTTCTCCACCCTCCATCTCAAAAACGATCGGACGTGTGTAAAAAAGTTGTTTAAATAAGTTTGTCGCAAATTTTATACTCTTCAGTTTTTGTAGTCATTGTTAACATTATGTAAATGTAAATGTAATATTATGTAAATGTAAATGAAATAACTAACAGTGAAAAAAAGAAGTCTTCTAGTCATGATATTGAAGATGAAAACAAACAAATTCTTTTCAGATAAAGAAAACGAGAATTTTTTCTATATTTTTTTTTGTCAGAATTGGTGAAGATATGGCAAGTAAAATGGAAAAGCCTATATACCCCGTTTCAGAAAGCCGCAATGATATCACCAATTCAGTATTCTTACACCCAGTCACAAGAAACAAGTTGATCGATATCATTTTCGGATTAAAAAATAAAACCTCTCCTGGTCCCGATAAGATATCTGTGTTCCTTATCAAAAAGTTCCACAAGTACTTTCTAGAACCCATATGTCACATTTTGAATTTAATATTTACTGTAGGAAAAATGCCTACCTAAATATTTCAAAGACTCAATCAAAATACCGATTTTTAAATCTGGTGGTAAAAAATTAGTAACAAACTTTCGACCCATAACTATGATTAATAACTTCTCTAAAATATTCGAAACATGTCTCAAAAATAGAGTTATACTATTTTGCAATAATAACATTTTTTCTGAATCACAATATGGTTTTCTAGAAAACAGATCAACAGAAAACGCAGTTTTTGAGATCGTTAACCAAATCAACAACTGTTTTCAAAATCAACAAAAATGCATAACTGTCTTTTTGGATTCGGCCAAGGCATTTGATACTGTGGATCATAATATACTCCTTCAACGTTTAGATAACACTGGTGTGAGAGGTGTGGCTTTCAAAATATTTGAAGACTATTTGACAAATAGAACAGAGATTGTCAAGGTAAATGACTCTCTGAGCGACCCACTAAAAATTACTCGGGGCGTACCCCAAGGAACTGTATTAGAACCCATCTTATTTCTAATATATATGAACAACATCTTCAAAATTTCTTATTTTAATGATGAAATAACTTCATTTGCTGATGACATAGCTATCTCTTTTGTTGGAAAAACGTGGGAAGAAGTCTGAAATAGGCATCAAAACGATTTTCAACTGGTTGAGTTATAATTTATTGAGTGTTGAAGTTAAAAAAACCAAATTTATTGCATTTGCTCCAACAACTAGAGATCAACCAGTTACAAACATCATAAAAATCAACAAAACATCTTGTGCAAATGTTCCCAATTGTACCTGTACTTCTTTAAAGGAAACGGATACACTAAAATACCTAAGGGTACTAGTGAACCAATCTCTTCGGTGGAATGCACACATCGATCATACAGCAACTAGAATACGTAAATCAATATATAAAATGTATCAGCTCAGGAATATAATAAACAGGAAAATGATACTGATGGGGTATGATGCCTTGGCTAACTCCATAATACGTTACTGTGTAATAGTATGGGGAGGTACCTTCAAGACATCGCTAATTAACTTAAAAGTAATTCAAAATTCATCAATAAGAATCATGATGAATAAAGATCGGAGGTAATGTACTCAGTCGTTGTATGATGAAACTGGGATATTCGGGGTTAGAAAAACATTTTTCAGAGTTTATTATGGACTGCTAATTCTTCAATAAAATTTGTACAGCATGCTTTCAATGCTCGTAACAGCATTGTTACGAGCAGCATTGTTACGAGCAGCATTGTTACAGTTAAGACCATGAATGTTTCACGATGCAGACTCATGCATAATCAAAACTTTATAACCTATCTGGGACCCAAACTTTACAACACTCTACCTGAATCATTGAAAAGCATGAGAAACAAACTCAAATTCAAAATAGAGTTGAAAAAATATGTTGACAATAATTATGATATGCTTCTTCTAATACTTGAATAAAAAATATCTATAATTGGAGGTGTCTTTCAGAGCGCATCACAGACAGATCTTTCTTTCTCTCTCTCTCTATTTCTCGTCCTCTATCTTCTTCTTACTATCTCTTCCTTTCTATACTCTGGTCACTATGTTTGGTTATACAGGAAAATATATATACTATTCAGTTTGCTGGCTACAATACAAGCCTTGCTTAGGTAGCCGTAACTTTCATTAGAATTATATAATCTCTACATTTCATGTATCTTTACTCATTTTTTTATCCTTTTGTCATTGATGACTATGTATTTTGTCTTATTACTGAATTGAATACATTTACTTACTTATTTACTTACTTACTTATTATTAGAGCTACGGAAATAGAGATAATCGCGAAAAACTTGAAAGTCATAAAACGATTTTTATGACTTTCAACCCTGAGTAATTTCTGACGCTGGGACGAGATTTTAGACTCCTGAAACAATTTTCAGAACACCAAAATGAAGGTTTTTACGAGTTCACACCTTGTCTCTCATTCCGAGATTGACCTCTTTTTTTTGCTCACGTGACGATGAGTAAAATGTCTAACAAAAAGTGAATATCTCCGTTCAAAAAATAATTTTCTGGTTATAGATCTGCCAATATCTCAAAAAAGCATTAATTCTAGAATTGCCACTTTTCAAACACATCAAAATTGGGAAAGGTAACTTCATTTTTCAATTTAATTCTACCTGTATCATTAGTTAATGGAAATTATTGTTAAAAATAAGGTTCAGTATACCGACTTTCTGACATATTCTTCATTCTAGCATAAAACAGCATTAGATGCTGTTTTATTGACGTCATATTTGGAGTTTGTAAAAAAGGTAAACATACATTTTAAGAGTAGAACGAAAAAGCATTTTTTTAAATTTGAAAACATAATTTTCTTGTTTCGATTTTCGTGAAATTCCAACAGAAAATAACAAAAACTCTGGTGAATTTTGAAACCATAGAAGTTTTATAGTATGAAAATATTTGAAATAGGTGAAATAAAGGTTTGCAACATGTCATTGTGAAAAAAAGATGTTCACAAGTTGTTATTAACTAAATGGTGTTCCTAAATTTGTCGATTTTTTTCAACACTTTGATTCTAATTATTTTTTAAACTATCGTAAACCCGAGAAGTTAATATTCATCAATAATTTAAACCTATATAGGCCGTTTTTTTAGGTGAAACGGTAAGACATACAAGGTCGGTTAAATTAGACAAAAGTGTCCTATTTCGAGGAACTAGAATAATATTTTTTCAGATCAAAAATATCAGTGGTTGTTAAAAATTGTCGAGTTTCGTTTCTGGCTCCACCTCCTCCATTTCTAGTGATATAAAAAAGGAGAGAAACTTTCAATACTGTTTCATATTTGTTATAATCTGATATAGACCAATTCGCAATGCGATGTTTAGTTCTCATGATGTCATCATCAACTTAATTTTTTTAATATGGACTTGTATTGTTATACATAACTGAATTTGTTATTACAGTGGCTACAAAATTCGATGAAAGAAACTGGAAGTCTGTATTTATGAAATGAGAATCTAACGAACGAAACGTCGTATTTGAAATTGGTTCATATAAGATTATAACAAATATGAAACGGTATTGAAATTCGACAATTCTAGCTTTTGGCGAATATTTCAAAAACAACCACTGATATTATCGATCTGAAAAAAGATTGTTCCAGTTCGCCAAAATTGGAAACTTTTGTCTGATTTAACCACTTTTACCGTTTTCGGGATAGCAATAGTGGGGCCTGTATATAATATGAGTCCGTATTATATGCAAATATACAGTGTATTCCATTTAAAACGAGCCACTCTGAATAACTTTTGATACAATGATTTGC